ACACCTGGGGACACACCTGGACACACCTGGAGGGGATTGGGACACACCTGGACACACCTGGACACACCTGGACACACCTGGACACACCTGGACACACCTGGGGACATTGGGGACACACCCAAACACACCTGGGGACATTGGGGTCACACCTGGACACACCTGGACACACCTGGACACACCTGGACACACCCAATGTCCATCCAGATGAGCCAAAATTACCCCCCGGCCATCAAATACCCGCAGAGACCCCCGCCACACCCTCACCTGTCCACGTCACCCTGCTAGGGACACACCTGGGGACATCTGGACACACCTGGACACGCCCAAAACACACCTGGGGACATTGGGGACACACCTGGACACACCTGGACACACCTGGGGACATTGGGGACACACCTGGACACACCTGGACACACCTGGGACACACCTGGACACACCTGGACACGCCCAATGTCCATCCAAATGAGCCAAAATTACCCGCCGGCCATCAAATACCCGCAGAGACCCCCGCCACACCCGCACCTGTCCACGTCACCCTGCTAGGGACACACCTGGGGACACCAAAAACACACCTGGACACACCTGGGGACACACCTAGGGACACCTGGACACACCTGGGCACACCTGGGACACACCTGGGACACACCTGGGATACACCTGGGACACACCTGGGGACACCTGGGGACACACCTGGGGACACCTGGACACACCTGGACACGCCCAAAACACACCTGGACACACCTGGGGACATTGGGGACACACCTGGACACACCTGGGGACACCTGAGGGGGACACAGACACACCCAGGGGACATTGGGGACATCTTAGGGTCACCTGGGGGACATTTGGGACACACCTGGGACACAGCTGGACACACCTGGACACACCTGGGGGACATTGGGGACATCTCAGGGGTCACTCTGGGGTCACCTGTAGGCCTTGGGGACACACCTGGGACACACCTGAGGTCACCTGAGGTCACTCAGGGGTCACTCAGGGGTCACTCTGGGGTCACTCTGGGGGACATCGGGGACACCTGAGGTCGCCTGGACAGCCCTGGGGTCACCCAAGGTCACCTGAGGTCACTCTGGGGTCACTCCGGGGTCACTTTGGGGACATCGAGGCCTCACCTGCGGCCGCCATCTTGGTGACGTCATCGGCTGACTCTCGGTGACGTCATCGGCCGGCCTTCGGTGACGTCATCGGCCACCATCTTGGTGACGTCATCGACTGACATTTGGTGGCGTCATCGACAGACTCTTAGTGACGTCATCGGCCGACCTTCGGTGACATCACCGGCTGACTCTTAGTGACGTCATTGACCGCCATCTTGGTGACGTCACAGACTGAATCTCGGTGACGTCATTGGTCGCCATATTGATGACATCATCGCCAACCATATTGATGACGTCATCGGCCGCCACCTTGGCCCGGTAGCAGCAGCAGCCAATGAGAGGCCAGCGGCCATTTTGGATTGCAGGAGCAGCCAATGGCAGGCGAGGACGGCCATTTTGGCCCGGCAGCAACAGCCAATGAGAGACGAGGATCGCCCCGGCGGCCATCTTGACCGAGCATCGCGGCCAATGAGAGACGAGGATGGGACCGGCGGCCATCTTGGCTGGGGCTGTGGCCAATGAGGAATCGGCGGCCATTTTGCCCAGCTGGCAGCAGCCAATGAGAGACGAGGATCCCCTCGGCGGCCATTTTGACCAGGAATTGTGGCCAATGGGAGTCAAGGATCCCCTCGGCAGCCATTTTGACCAGGATTTGCGGCCAATGAGAGACAAGGGATCGGGACGGCGGCCATCTTGGCCCGGCGGCCATGTTGTCCTGGTGGCAGCAGCCAATGAGAGACGAGGATCCCCTCGGCGGCCATCTTGGCTGGACAGGAGCAGCCAATGAGAGACGAGGATCCCCTCGGCGGCCATCTTGGCTGGACAGGAGCAGCCAATGAGAGTCAAGGATCCCCTCGGCGGCCATCTTGGCTGG